TGGTCATGGGGATGCTGCCGTTGACCACGATGGAAAGGAAGCCCTGCTAGAAAGGCAGTGTTGCCTCCTAGGCCTGTGTTTGGTCATTGTTTTGGGCTGGGAAGGGAGAGCTCTGCAGTCYGTGCAGCTTTGGTGGTTCCTCTGCTCTGCAGGTGCTGGTGGCATCTGGAGGAAGGTGCATTCCACTCTGTGCGTGGCAGGGAGTTGTGAAGTGCCATTTGCTACCTAGGGAGTCCTTCAAAAGCCGTCAAAAGCCATGATTCTGCTTCCATGGGTTTCTTTCTCATGTTTGTAACTGCCACGACAGGAGGAGAGGTGCCAGGTTCATTGAGCTCTGGGCAGGTCTGCTGTGGAGTGATGGACCAGCTTGTGGCTGCGCGTTGGCCACCGTTGAAAATGAGAAGCTGGTTTCGCTTCAACAGGTGCATCTTACATGGGTATCCCCAGTAGATGCAGCCACTTCGTGCTATAGTGTCCTGGTCTAAAAAATCTGAATATCATAGCCAGGTGGAAAAACGGATGAAGACTGCAAAGCCCACCTGAAGCCTGATTTACCTTTGCAGTATTTCACAGCGGCTTTGGGGAGCTGAGCCATTCCTAGTGGGAAAGATATAAAGGAGGAACCAYGGAGGAAAAACAGAAGCTAAAATGTTAGAAAAGGGAAAAGCAGCAAGAGGCATAAACTGTGTGGGGCTTCAGTGACGGTTAATGGTGCGGACTCAGCCGTATCGGTCTGCAGCAGGTGCTGCAGGGCTGGTGTCATCGTTCCTGTGCAGAAACTTGGGTCTGAAGCGCTGGGCTGTGGTGCCCTGGCATCGTCGAACGCTTCCCACCTCCCAGGAGCAGCCTCGGGATGGGCAGCACTCACCTATAACCCAGCGGTGGCTTTTCATAGTGTGGGACCTTCCAGCAATTTGCAGTTCACCTCGCTAGAATGAATGGAATTTCACTGCAATTCATTTTTGCAGTCCATGGGTTCAGTTTCCCCTATATTACTTTTATAGAGCAGCAGAAATGCCTATGGTGGTTGGGCAAACGAATAAAGTAATTGGCTTCTTTCTCGAGGAGATCATAAAAAAAAATAGAGCCCAGATTCATTGCTACCTATTTCTCCAAAAACAGTCTGCTTTTGTAGCTAAAGTGCAGGAGTATACGCTCAATTCAATAAATATTATTTTATAAATATTGCAATCAAGAGTTCTATTCTACTGTGTGAAATTCATATACATTGGAATATAACTGGACAAGGAGGTATTTTTCAGCGGATGTCAGGAAGTTTCAAAGATACCTTTGCTATAAAAATCTTGCTCGTGAACAAAGACAGAATTAGGTCAAGAAAGGTCACTTTAGGTCTAGCCTGGCTGCAAATGTTGATCAGTTTGTCAGTAATGTGGTATTTTCATAGTCCAACTCGTGTCTTTGGCACTTAAAACTAAAAATAAGTTWAAAAAAAWTWAAAAAATCTCTAAATCCCGTTCCCTGCACATGCCCTGTTTGCTGGCGGGAGGAGGGGAGAACTGCCCAGCTCATGGAGATGTTGCCCGTGGTGGAGCACTGACACACAGGTTAGTCTTAGAAATCACCTAAAATGATCTAAACACGCTTGCTGGTTTTGCAGGAGATGTCATGGGCTCGATTTCTGCCGTTGTGCTGGGTGCGTGAGCAGCTGACAGGCACAACACTGTTTCTAGCTTAGTGGAACCAAGTCTTTTCTATTGTAGAAGTTAATGGAAAACTTYAGGAAGGTCTTGGGGAGCGACCAMGATGCTCAGTTCCTGTGAAGCCGGSAGGACTTTGCTGCGCCCGGAGCGATTCCCCAGTGACACCAGGGCAGGAGCCGTGCGCCCGTTGAAGCTCGTGCAGGCTGTGACGGGCCTTTATGAACAGATGGGTTTTAATTTGGCCTGGAGGAGGAGGAAGATGATGCTAAGATAATTACCTAGACCGTGAATGGCTCTGAAGAGCGTTCTCAGCTCTTGGTTAGTCCATCTACAGAACAGCAAAAGCCCTCGTCAGCAGCACAGTAGCTCTGGAGATGACAATAATACTTTGCTTGTAGGATGGCTAAGCATCATTTTTAGCTGTTAAAAAGATACTGCAGAATTGAAGCAGAGCAAGAAAAATYCTAGCATTGATCTTTGCTGTAAAGGAAACACCAGTCTGCTGTGAGACCAAGTCACTTAAGAAGCGTGGTGGCCTGCGTGGTGGCAGCAAGGGTTTTGGTGGGGTTTTCACCACCTGCACTTGACTGGTTCCTGTCCCTTTCTTGCCTGTCACACGTCTGCCGTGACGCTGCTTGCAGGAGCTGCCTTGTTTCATTCCCCACGCCAGTGACTTTCTGGTCTGCATGGGTATGATATTTGGGAAGATGTCTCTTCTGCTCAGATGACACCCTCTAATCTTTCCCTGTTCCCTGCTCTCTGACTCCCTAATTATGGTATTTAATTCAGCAAAACACTGTTGGATAAAGCTTATACACACCGTACTGTGCAAATTAAAGCTAACTCTAGCGAGGCAAGTTGTGGTGAGGAGCTCTGTTAAGCCTGTGACCTTCTCTGCARTAACTCAGCCTCCTGTCTCTGGGCTGACTATAAGGAGGTGCAGGGTGGAAAAACAGTCACTAACCTTTAGCAGTGCCCAGACCTCAAGATCTTTTTATTTTATTGGTAAATACACAGAATGGTAACATTTATTCACTCAAAAATYTTCACTGGCAAAAAATAAGCATATGAGCCCTCATGGAGCTCTCGTTTTTCCCCGTTGCAGAGGGCCGTGCTCGTCTCTGAGCGCTGGCACGCACTGACAGGCCTTGTTAAGCCCCACTCCTACCTTTGCACCAGCTGCTTGATGAAATAAAACCAAAGGACGTGGAGTTTCAGGGCTTGGTGTGACCGACTTGTGTCAGGAAGGGCCTWTGGAAAAAGGAGGGAGGTGTCCAGCGAGGAGGGTGACACTCGCCTCCCATCCCAAAGCAGTGACTGAAGGGGGACACGGAGGAGATCCTGCAGCTGAAATCCTTGCCTTGAACTTAGTTACAATAAAGTGCAGTTCTTTATTGCATAGCACTGACAATGACCTTTTAGTCCACGTGAGACAGAGAAATGGAGAGCAGCAGCAACCACAAGAAATATCTCTCAATYCAGCTTCTTTCTGGGCAGGTCTTTGGTCACAAATTACCTTTTTAATCCTGGAGTCTGCGCATCCTAAAGGATATGGAGAATCCCTGACGGATGTGCAAAGGTTCATTATGCCCTGCTTTTGTTTGGAAAAGGGAGGCAATCTAGAATATGATGCTGCCGTTTTTGCTTTTCCTATAATATTGCTTATTTTCAACATTATTGCAACTTGTGCTAAAATAGCCATTTTATCGGTGCGGATCTATRGCCATGATGGCTAAAGTACAGGCTCTTATTTTATGAATGCTCCTAGGGTCTGTGTTCCAATTAACTGATTTATGGTCTGTCACTGGCAAATTAAAACCAAAGAGCCTTAATGTATTTTATTGCCGTGCGAGATGGCTGAGGTTTCACTTAGGCTGCAGGAGCCGGTGTCAGAGCAGGAAGCCAAAGCCCGGCCTGGTGGCAGAGGCTGCGGAGCCACTTAGGCAACGTCAGCAGATTATATTTTCCCCCCCTTTGCAATCCTTTTAGCAGCAAGGCTCATCAGTTTGCGTTTGAAGATGAGCAGAGCGACGTTGTGCTTGCAGAGGGAGTTAATTTGCGTCCGAAGCGTTTTAGTTAGATTAAAGCTGAAAGCTAGAAGAAACCTTGGCGGGTGCCCGGCGGTGGCTGTGTTGGAGCCCTCGGCTGCTGGATTCGGCCGGCCCCATGGCCCCACTTTTTGCAGCCCCAAAGCCGAGGCTCTTGGGTGACTTTGTKGTGCCCTTTGGAGTGGCCTTTGGAGCACGACTTGCCGGCCAGGACACCYGCATGGAGGGGCACGGAGCCACTTAAGGAAGCGAGGGTGGTTCCTTGGGGCCGCGTGCGGTCCCTGCGATGCCCTTCCTGCAAGTCCTGCAGCAGGATGAGCACCCTCAGGAAGGCTCTTCCCTAAGGAGAGCGGCCGTGTTAGCCAAGCGGCTCTTTCCACCTTTCTTTTCTCCAATTTCTTCCCCTCTTTTGCCCCTTTACCCACCCAGGTCTTGAGGAGACGGGGCGAACCTGCGGCTGAGGCACACGGCCGTGATGCTGCTCTCTGCTCCCTGGCCTGCRGAGCAGGTCGCAGGGCGCTCGCCTCGCTGCTCCTCGCAGCGCGTCCCCTTCCGAGGGCAAAGCCCCAGCCTTTTGGGAGCAAGGGGAGGCGAGCGAAGGGTCACGGCATGGATCAGTGTGGAGCAAATTGTGGAAGTCACTGGTAATTTTAATCCAGCTGGAAAAAGAGGCTCGTGGCAGCAGCCGTGTYCTGTCCGCGCCGCTCCGGGTGAACAGCGGCAGCTGCCGGGGCCACTGGCGCAGGCTGCGGCGCTCGTGGCAATTGGATTAGGCTCTGACAAGGACACAGTCCCCTTTTCTCCTCTCCGCRTGATGGAAAGCAGCAGAAAGGCCCGGGCCACACGTTGACCTGCAGTGTCACTGGGGGCTTTTGTGGCAGCTCCGGCTGCCAGCCCCTTTTCCGTGAAGCCACCGCGGCGACGGGCGCAGAGGAGCCTCGAGAGGCCCTCCGAGGGCCAGGATTGCTCCCCAAAACAGGCCAGGCTGCACGCGCCTCRTCCCGCCTGCTTCCCCTTTCAGAGCGGGAAAGTTTCAGTCGTTGCAGTACCCGTGTGCCCTGTGCACGTCCTGCTGCTGGCACTGCCCTTTGGGGCAGGTTTGGGTGCCATTTGAGCCCTTCTAGCTCGTGCCACCTTCTTCTTGAGGCGATGAAGGACATTGAGATCATTGTGTGGTACAGTCAATTGAGAAGCATCTSCATGAGCAAGCGTGTTGCAATCAGTTGTCTTCTGGAGATTTGAGAGTTATGTTCTCATCTGTAATGCATTTTTTTTCTCTTCCCTTTTTCAGAGACCTGAGCGAAAACCAGATAAAAGGAATCCCAAGGAAGGCCTTCCGAGGAATCATCGACGTGAAGAACTTGTAAGTGACAACTCTGTCAATATCTGTGGTGAGGAACCTTCTCCCTCACTTACACTGACCTTCTGGCCACCACATGTCCACCTCCGTGCAGCACCAGGGGGAACGTGGGGCTCTGCTGGGTGGAGCAGGTGATTGCCAAAGACCTCACATGCCCCTTGGATCCTCTAGGTCCCATACAGCTAGTTTTGAGCAAAGAGAGGCCCGTATGTAGAGAATTTAGCTCTCCTTCCAGTCCTACACTGCAAAAGCAAGTCAAACCTCAGCACTGCATGCTTGAGAGCAGAGCTGGGAGGGTTGCTGAGTGCTGTTGAATGATTTAGCTGAAATTGTGTGTCCTACCAAAGCTGGGTGGGAAGTGAGCGTGTCAGAAAACCTGCTGAGCACAAATTTCAAAAGAGGAGATGTGGTGTTAGCTTGGCAAGCCTGGGAGACTGACTGCGCCTGCTTTGCCAGTCTGCCTTGGAAATTTATTTTTAAAAGCTGTTGAAGGGAAAGAAGCAGGATTTTGYTCTTTGTGCTCCTGGAGTTAGTCCCGCTTAGCTTGTCCGTTGCCCCTCTCTCATGCATTGAGGATCTGTGTAYGTACAGAGCTGCTGGTCTGGGTCTCCAGGAGCTGCTCACGTGTTGTGTAACAGAACTGCATGTACGTGAACGTGGGGTCACAAGGTATGCAGAGAAAGGGAGCCAYGTGCAGATTCCCTGCAATTCCCTGAGAAACAACCTGCTCGGATAGGGAAGCAGAATGTAAACTGTGAGTAACTGTATACTGAGCTGATTTAAAGCCATTAGTATTAGCACAGTATTATCCYACTGCTAGCCCAGCTATCGTCTGAGACCCCACCGTGTTAAATACTGTAAGCACTGGGTTAGTAGTGTGGAATTATGTGGCTTCTTTCRTAGAAAACTCAACAGGAGATGTCAAAAACTTCTTCAGCGAGCACTCTTGCACACCTGTGCTCCATCCCATCTGTTTGCCTGATGCAAAACTTCTTAAGCGCRCAGACTGTTTTTCTGTAGGCAGGACTGAAATTTTTAAGGGCAGGCAAAGGGAGTCAGAGCACGACTACATTTGYGTCCAAAAGGGAAGCACTATCCCCTTGCTGTGCTGTATTGTGGGAAGCATCACATCCATGGAGACGAAAGCACAGCTTTCCTTGTTCCAGACTGGTAAACTGAGGCACAGAGGTGCCCAAGAGCAGCTTCCTTCTTGTACGTTTAACTGCAGCTTTAGCTTTTTGATATGAAAGCTAATTTTTTGAAGGTCAGCCTGCGAAAGTGAAGCTTGGGGAAGGCAGCTAAGCTCATTTAAGCCTTGACGTTAATGCTGCTCTTAAGTGCAGGCATTATCAGAGGACGCCCCGTGAACAGGTCTAGCTTTTAAGATACAGAAGAAACGAAAACCTCACTGTGGGCAGGACTTCGTAGACTTAGAAGAAAACATAAGGCACTGTTGTCCATGGGTGAGAGCAATGTTGCTCCCAGCCCCAGGAGATGCTGAGCGGAGTGCGAGTAAACCCCAAGTCAGCGACTCYCTTCCCAACTAGCTGCCGGGAAGCAGTGGGAATTCCTGCAGTGATGACTGCAAGGGTGTGATTCAGGGATAGCCCAGGCAAGCTTACRTGTGCTGGGTCTCATGCTCAGGCTCTGCTGGGCAGCCCAAATGCCCCTGCTTTGCTGCAGCCRTGGCTGTGCCAACAAGCACATGGGCTGGAGAGATAGCAGCCCTTGCTGAGCCTCTGGTTTTGCAGATTTATTGCTTGGTGTCAGGGCTCTGGCACCTCTTAAAGCAAGTTTTTGAGCCATCTTGGAGACCTTTAGACGTAAGAAACAAAGTTATATGTTCTCCCGCTGTCCACTTCTGTCCAGTTTGTCTTGAAAATTCATGTTGAGGGAGGCTGGCATTGAATTGTCTCAACTTTTATGGCTTGACATTTAGCATGGCCTTAAATTCTTTTGGTTTCTAAATAAAGTGTCTAAATGTCATGGAAAAAATAGTAGCTGTTATAATAGGGATGCAGCCACTACTAGGCTGCATTAAACCTGCAAAGTAGGGCTGTCTGCAGAGCAGTGTGCAAGGCATCCCGCAGGAAAATCCCTAGGGAAGCAACGGGCAGGTAGAGCTGGGGCTCAACCACAGGATGCACGGCGGGGGCAAACTGACCGTGGTGCAACAAGGGGCTCGGTACCAGCATCGCTGTAGCCATCGGGGAAAGTAAATGGTGAGAGGATTTGAGAGAAAGAAGGAGGGTTGCAGCGAGGAGTGTTGTATGGCTCTCYTATTTCCCTTTTATTCACTGCCTTCCTTTCTTCCTGGTGAGAAAGGTTCTTCCTTTCACCTTTTCTCATCTTCTTAGCAGAGAAGCGGGCCCAGGAAAATGAGTTGTGTTTGCATGAGGTAAAGCCAGAGCAGAGGCTGGAGAGCTGAGATTTTAAATTGCCCATAGTGGGAAATCTGTTTTTAGGACTTATTTTCATACACGGTCTCCTCTGCAGCTTGGCCCTAAAACGCAAAGGAAGAACCTGCCTACAGAAAGAACCAATTAGTAAGTTGATAGTTAAGATAAAGAGAAAAATGTGGAGTTTTTTAAGTCATATTGCTGAGTAAGAATTATCCATCACAAAGCACGAGGCTACAGAGGCATTTGGGGCAGCGGGCACTTTGCCCACGTGGTGSAAGGGGCTCTTGACGGCCGTGCAAGCGAGCAGAGCGCGCTCGTGCGCTCAGTACYTGCTGCTCAGGGCACAGGAAACATTTCTTGCAGGAATCTGGCCCCGAATAAGTTACCTGAGGAATGAAATAGCTGCGTTTGGGTGTCGCGGAGGAGCCGAGCAGAGCCCGCTGGACGTGCTGGAGCCCTCGCGCTGACGGTGCTTGTGGGGAGGCATTTGCCCCACACATTGCCCCACAAGCAGGGCCATCRCTGCCTTGGCCCCTGCCCGGCTCACCGGGGCAGCTCCGCGCCCGCGCAGCCTTCAGCATTTCCCCTTTTAGACCCTTTTCCCAGGTGATGGGAATTGGGAGCGTGGGAATGCACGGAAACCCGARTGGGCAGGTTCCTCCGTCACGATAATACGGGCACTTGTGTGGAAATATTGGACGGACTTCGTGTTACCAGGACTGCCAGCTGCTTTACTGGCATCCGGGAGCCACTTGGGGCGTTGTGGATAATCTCCTGCCTTAYAGCCCCAAAGATGCCTTTGGAGGAAGAAATGAAGTAGTTAGAATTAAAAAAAAAAAAATGCAGAAATATATCAGCACGTGTGTAACATTTGCCACTTCCATAAGCCTGCATACATTGATTTTCCTCATAGTTACATTACCTATACAATGTCAAAATGAGAGCTTTGCAAGAATGGTTAAATATTTTAGTGATTACCAGTGGTTTCAGTTTCTAATTTGTTGCATAGCTTTCTGTGGGAGTTACATCTTTTCCTCTGTGTGCCCCCTATTAGCATTGATCCATGTGATTTACAAAAATTAAACAGCCCGATTGCACACTCAGGGTCAGGAAAAAGCTGAATTTGCTCTTCACTGGGTAAAGTCTTTGCATTCACCTCATCAAAAAACAGAACAGTTCCTGTGCTATTTTGTCTACCCCTCACAACCCAGCGCTGCAGGTTGTAGTATTTGCTGATCAGCAACAGAATGAAAATAAGTAAGTGTTCTTACCAAATTAGTTAAGGTATTGAATAAATCCTAAGAAACGGTGATTGATAYGGGTGCAGCCATTCACTAGTGGAAACAAGGCAAGTGCTTGCGTGTTGCTTGCGGCACACAAATATGTCTTAATGAAATGCCGTGCTAGGAAACTTAACCTCTTTGGCCTGGAGTCCCTAGGGAAACCATCACCTTGATCACTTAGAAATTTTTAGCCTTCGTTTCATGGTATTTGTCTGTAGCTCAGATTTACTCTTTACTATTACTATTGCTCAATAAAATAGAGCAAAAGGGGAGAGAGAATCAGTTTTCCACTAGTTTGGTGCAGAGTCTGGAATGAGTCTCTGATAGTGGTTGGAGCCAAGAGCAGGGGAAGAGCTGGAAGAGCTGCAGGGTTTCCGCATGGGGGCTTGTGTGTTTGCTTGTGCATCCTCCCATAGTCCGAACATTGGAAGATGTGCAAGAAGGGCAGGGTCCGGTKTAGGCCCCGGTGTTTACCGGCGGCTCAAGGTGCCGGGGAAGCCTCTCCGGGCTCCCCGGGGACGGCGCTGGGGCAGCGCCGCTCGCTTGCGGGCCTAATGCAGAGCAGATCTGGCCCTTTGCAGTTTCCTTGGAGCTCTCGCTGGCCCTTTGATACCAAACTTGATTTAAATGGAATGTGACATCAGTGGAAATAGTATGAAAATCGAATTTTCTTTATTTTGGTCTTTTTTACGCTAACCTTGGCTTGCAGTTCATCTAGGGATAATTGATCCTGTCTCTGTGCCGTTCTGTAATTTTGAGTACCTTTGTAGGAGACTTCCTGCAGTGTTCATCCGTGCTTGTCAAAGCAGCTTTTAGTCCAAAGAAAAAAAAGATACTGGTTTTAATTATAATTCTAAATAGCTTCATAACCACGGTGACCTCTGAATTTACATCATTTTTATGATAGCCTCTCCATTCCTGGCTTATTGATTTTGTCATTTGCCTCATTATGTTTAATGGGAACCTTTTGCAGGCAGCTCTGGGGGCACCGCGGGGTCGGCGTTGGCCACCTCCCCTTCCACTTGGGCCAAGCCAAAGCCCTGCGTAGCCTCCACGTTCATGTTGCTGCGCTTCCCCCTTGGCTCTTCAGCCCCTGCAACCCCTGTCCTCTATCTGGAGAGAAAGAGGGTTTTGTGGTGCAAATCTAGCACGCAGATTTATATTTTCTAYCTGTTTTACAAGGTTTTTAATCATAAATGATGTTTATGCAAACATCTGCTCACGGTGTTTGTGCAGCAAGGAGTATTATCCAGYGCTTTTCAACAGCGGGTTTGCTACGTTATTTGAAAACGTCCTCAGAGGAAGCTTGGGTCGTGGA